ATCCTTTAGGAATTATCGCAACTATACTTTAAGTCTATAAATGTTATTTGTAGCATTAACATATTAACAAATGGGAAGTCTTTCTTATCTTTTGTTAGACTGCTAATAATGACTTCATTTCAGTTTTCAGTATCGCTTTCATTATGGTTCCTGAAATAACATTAGTGTTAGTCAAAGGGATTAGCTGCAGCCTTCCCATCCGGTCAATTGCCATTCTTCTCTAAGCTTTCTTAGTTATTAAGCTATGCCATGGTGAAGCTATCAGGGGATCATAAAGGAACATTGGAAGCAGTTTGAAATATGTATCATCATGCTATGGTTAGTGTCTGGAGGGCCTCCAAAGCTTCATACAGCTATGGAGGCGGCTGAGTCTAGTGTTTGTGATTGGTTCATTGTTTAGCACTGGGATTGGTGGTGTGAGTGTTATACCAGCCCAGGGCTGGGTAGCCAGCATGCAATATAAGGGAAGGAAGAAGGTGTGTTTTTCCCTTTTTTCTCTTGTCATCATTGGTACCTGCTGCCGCCGTGAACAGCTACCCCGTGCCATGCCACCCTGCCTTGGAGCTAACTAAATAGGGACAAAAACCTCCAAAGTAATGTGAGCTAAAGAGAAACCTCCCCTTCCTTAATTTTGGGTGTCAGGTATTTTGCCTTAGCAATGAGAGTAAAGTAACCAAGACATCTTGTCTAGATTTTCCAAAACAATATCTGTTCCTCCCAAAGCAGTATCTCTCTTAAAGTCCTCTGTGAAATTCTTCTGTGTATGTATATTTTGTTTGTTTGTTTTTGTCCTTATTCTTTCCTTGTTTTCATGATGATATTTCAGCTACTTATTTTAAACTATAAAAGTGAATGGATGGGTAGCAGATCACCTAGACTGGCTAGGAGAAAAGTGTTCACCTGCATAGTTCACTGTATATTATATAGGCTCAGACTAAAATGTATAGTGTGTGATGTTACTGACAAAGAAAAGATCTTTAAAAAAAAATAAAAAGGCACTGCGTGGAAAACAGTATGATTCCAATAGTGGCCAGCAACATTATTAAAAGCATGAAAGTTAGCCTATTCAAGTAAAATTAACTGCACACTTCTGAAAGCTTTCCCTAAAATGTTCAAATGCCTCTGTCAGAATCCAGCCCGAATCGACTTTCTGGGCAAAAGCAAACCTGGAAGGAGCCCAGACTTGTGTGTGAGAGATGTTTCCTTCCTCTCTTCCAGAAAACTGCTCACATTTGAAACAGTGTTAATGTAAATTTAACAATTTTTTTTGAAGAATCTTCTACTCTGATATTAAAAAGTAATGCCACAATATTGTCTGAAGAGGCAAAGGGAAAGCTGTTATCCTATCCTGTTCTCTGCAGAGACCTGAGACTTGCAGGCTTGCTCTCCACCTCTGTTTGGTTGCACTCTGGAGTTGGCTGGGATGGTGAGTTCCACACGGTCACATCCCTGTCCTCAAGTAACCGCGGAGGGTAGCTCTCCGCAGCCCTGGATGTGCTGTGCCCTGTCATTGGAAGCTCACTCCCGACACATTAGCCCAGAGGGAGTTCCCTGCTGGTTCTGCCAGGAGAGAGTTTTCTCTTCCTGTACAGCATCTTCATACCTCCCATATCCACCGTAGAAAAAGCTACACAGTAAAACCTTGGCAGCTTAACTAACAGCAGTGACCACAAGCTGGAGATGGCTCAGCTTCCCCAGGCAGTTTCAGACTAACAGTTGTACAGTTAATGACAGGTCAAATAGGTTATCTTCCCTTTCTCTGTTCAGGCCACAAAGATACATTTTTCTCAACATATAAGCAGGGTTGCTTACTGTTCCCTGGAGATGGCTCAGAAGTCAGATTTCAAAACTTCAGAATATGGAGTAGGTTGCAGGTTCAACTGAAGTTCAGCCACAAATATAGAACAAAGGCAAACTTTGGAAAATGTAATGCAGAGCACCTTAGCCTTTTTATGCTAATTTTCCTCCACATCCTTTTTAGTTGTTCTGTGTACATCTCCTGGCCTTCATGTCTGCCTATTTTCTTGTAACTTTCTCTTCAGAAGGAAAACTGACGTGTGACATGAATGTCTTTATTTATGACCCATGTCATTTATTTTGCTTCTATGCTTGGTTAAGTACTGGAATTTGGCTCATACTTTCCATATGGAATTTTAATAAATTCACTATTCTCAAAGTGAAAAAAATAACTTTTCATTCTTCAACTGAAAAACCTGCATTTAATTAACCTTTCAAGTAAATAAACATGCAGAAAATAGCAGGAAACTTTTGGATAACTTGAAAAGTATTGTTTGTGCTTTATATGTTCTCTTAGGTTTTGAATTCACCAAATATTTTTAAAGTCACTTTTCAAGTGTTATAATCTACTACATTGCTTTAAAAAAATACAAACAAGTACTTAGCTATTTTCATGGATCTACATAGTCTATTGGCATAATTTAGTATTAGTGTTCTACCTCAAATAGTATGCTCTTAAATTATCTTGGATCATTCAAAGAATGACTATAATTTCCATTTTTATTTGGTCTGTCTGTAATCATTGTGGGCTTATACCTTTTTAAATTTTTGTAGGCAGAAATTATAAATGTGTTTCCTTCTGATTCTGATCTTGTTCTTTGCTTTTTCTATTTTAGATGTAATTCCCAACAATCATAGTTAAGAGCAGACCGATTCTAAAACACACACATTTTATCATGTCTTAGTCTTTCAAAGGAAGACTTAGACATCAACTTAATTTGTTTTCATGCCTCCTGGTGCTGTTAAAGAACATACTGGGGAAAAGTTATTTAATTCCACTGAAATTTCTTGCAGCTCTACCTATGTGTGTCTTTGCCATCAATTGGTATTTTTCCTTAATTGATTCATGTCACATTCTCACAGTGCCTAATACTGTCATTTTCACTACTGTTTCCCAAAATCTAAATCTCTTCATTTGCTGAAGACCATTTTGTCTCAAACTTAGAAACCTGAGTTCATCCATGTCAACTCCATCAGTTCCTCCCTCCACAGCACCGGCTTTCTGTGAGCATTTCTGTTTCTGTTCTGTTCTCCCGTTCCCCAGAGGTTCCTGCTCCATTTCCACTCTGGGTAGCCTTTTTGCCTCCTCTGGGACCCTCCTCGGGGGACTATCTTGGTAGATCTTCCACCCACATTTTCTCACCCTCTGCAAAGATATTCTAGCCTATAGAAAGTACAAGTCTTTTCCTCTTATCTCTCAGGTTTTGTTTTTGAAAGCAGTCTCTGCTTGACCTGATTTTTAACTCCTCACAGTTTAACTTTTACCACCACCACCACTCCCTGAACCTAAACTCTCAAAAGTCACTGATGCGTAATCTACTGGTGAATAAATATAATGTCCTCTTTTTAAATAACCTATTACTTTTTGTTGATGAACACATCTCTTTGGAAACCAGAAAGATATGTTTCCAGAACTCTGACTGGAACTTTTCTCTCCATGCCATTTCTTTAACTGCAAATTTGAAACATCTAAATTGCACTTACGTTTTGTCGACAGAGCCACACCTGATTCCTTTTTGCATAATGTTTACATGGAATATTTTCTGATTCTTTTACGTGTAACCATCCTCATGCTTACAAAACTGACTGTTTCTTGTAAACCACTCATCAATGGGGCTTGCCTTTTTTATCAAGCCTGGGAATCTGTGTCTTTTAATTGTATTCTTTAGACCATTTATATATGCTTCAGTTATCATACTTTTGAATGTTAAGTCTATCGCTTTGATGTTTAATTCTACTTCCCACTGCCACCACCCCTCCCTTTTATGACCCATATATTTCAATGTTCACTTGTATATATTATTTCTGCTCTTATCTGGTACTCAGCGCAAGGCCTAATTTTCTAGTTGTACTTTCAACTTTAGACAGGCCTGTGTTCTTGAACTGGTGGAGATTTCTCTCAATGCCTCTGCTTCTCCTAGTATTAAGTTGTTACTTCTCATACTAGATGTGAGTCTGAAGCATGGAAAAGCATACACAGATGTGCCTGCTCTTCCAAAGGGTTGGTACTCAACTGCCCTTTTGTCTGTGGCAGATAACTGCTATCTGATACTCAGGTAAAGTTTGTAGTGTGGAAGATTTTTCTTGGTTCTGCAGATCCTTAAACTTAGGTGAGCCTTTTAATTCACCAATTTACTGTACAGCTTTGAGTCTCCAATGGGCTTAAAAATTAAGACTCTATAAGAAGCATGTACCTTTCAGTGTCCAAGACAGGAGGAAGAAATTCTGTATAGCACTTTATCTTTAATTCTCCCTTAAATTAGCTTCTCTTAGAAGCAGGAAAACTAAGAAAAGGATTTGGGTTCACGTAGTTTATTTGGGAAATAATCCAGGAAGCCCCTGTAAAAGTATGAGAGGAGAGATATGGAAAGAAAGGAAATCAATATATTATGTAATAAGCAACTGTAGTATTGTCATACTAGTGACTTCAGGGACACTGCGTGGCATCAGCCTTGGTGGAAAAGCAGGGTATTTATTTATCTACAGGCTTATTCTTATCCATGATGGATTATTAGTCCTCCTCCATGGTGGTGCCTACTCCAGATCAAAAAAGCAGAGAAATGCAGTTGACACAAGAAGATATGGGAAGGCCTAAAATCTATTTTAAACTCTCAAATGGCAATTTAATTTCTCATATACTGGCTCCTGTATTATCGAGAGAATTCATACGTGGTTTATCTTTATGTTCACCCACTATTGTAACTTACGTACCAAATAGAAAATGATTAATATTCACTAAACAAAGAAATACATTTTATACAGTACCAATATAAAGAACTCTGGTTGCTTCATTTCCTTCTAAGTCCTCATCTACTCAAATAAAATAGTTTAATCTCTTAATTGCCAAGAAGGGTAAATTCACCAGAATGGTTGAAGTTTATTAGAATCACATTGATTTTCTAGCAAGTTTGAATGCCCTATAATTTAAAAATATAGTTTTCAAATCAAAGATTTACTTAACAGATATTTTATGTTATTGGCAGTCAACAATGATAAGGCATCCACCAACAGTTGTTTGCTACATCTGTGGTCGTGAATATGGAACAAAATCCATTAGCATCCATGAGCCACAATGCCTAAAAAAGTGGCATAATGAGAACAACTTGTTGCCTAAAGAGCTAAGGAGACCAGAACCTAAAAAAGCAGAAGTCAGGACCATTACTGGTAAGTTTCTAAAGAAAAGATTTGAGTACATGAGAAAATACTTTTCTTTTGAACTTGTGGTTATAAACTTTGACAGAAGTGTCCTTTTACTTCTTCAGACGACTAAAATCATCAGCATTGCTTACAGACAAACCATTCTGGAATGCCTGTCCAAAACGTTGTTTTCACATACTGAGACATAAAGAGACTATGCCCTGGGAACACTGCATATGGGAAAGACCCACTGAATTTACTGTATTTCCCCCAAATTACCTTTATGTTTTACCAAGCATAATTCTTTTTTAAAAATCTTAAAAAGGATTTGAGAACATCCAGCGTTTTGTTTTCAAGTAAGAATACATCTTGATATTCATAGAACAGGGCATCAGACTCAGATGCTTACTAAGTCCATTAGTCAGCTTGTAACATCACATAAATTGGTCGTCCATATACAAAAGAAAGGGGAGCTGGGTACTGAGGTGAGCTGGAGAAGACCAGTTTCTTCTAAAGGAAACACCAGCGGCCCAGCCTCAGCTGATCTATCATCAGAAAATTTACCCCAGTGTGGCTATACCTTTCAATAGTGCAAAAGAAAGAGGAACTTTAAACTTCCATTTGAAATGCCCAGATTTAATTTTGTCTTTTTGATAGTGTTGCCCACTGAACCCAGGGCTGCACACATGCTAGGCATGAGCTCTACCCCTGAGCCACACCCACAGCCCCAAGATATAAAGAATGTTTATAGTTAAACATTTGTAAAGCACTGTGTGAACCAAATGACACTGGAACTTCACTGTCGCATGAGACTTTGTCACAGACCCTTGTGCTAACTTAGGGTGCAAAAAAACTGAATATTTTTACCCTGTGAGCTCAGATTGATTTGCCATATTTCTACCAATGGAAGTCAGTATCACCTAGTCCAAAGCAGTCTTGATAAAGATGTGAGCCAAGGAGCATTTATAATGACCAACTGAAGGAAATCTAGAATGTCAATCAAGCTCTAGATCCCTTTAGAACCCACCTATTTTCAGGCCTTGCATACAAGTGGGAAAAGAATTTAAGATGAAAAGCCCATCATTTGAAATTAGAGTATTTGCCTACAGAAAAATTTATTTCCTTGAGGTTCTTTTCCCTAATAATGTTTCGTCCACTTCAGTTATTACCATGTTCTCTGCAAGAAGGGAGAGGACTGACTGATTTGAAAGGCACAGTGGGTCCAACAATCTGTTATTAATCATAGATATAAAAAGGATATCCTAGAACTGCAGGAAAATTTCCTCTGGGTTCCATGCTGCTTTTTACCACTGAAAATGCCTTTTGTCTCTAAATCAGTAGCACTTATGTTACCATTCCCTTTCTGTGGAGTCTGTAGCCATAGCAGTCAAATAACCGATACTCAAATCCAAAATGAAAGTCCTATGCAAAAATGGTTAGAATGCAATCAATGGCCTTCAAGTGAGAGTTAGTGACTGGGTTAGTTTTTCAGTTTATATTAAAACTCTTACGTGTAATGAGAAAGTCAGCGCTTATCTTCTCTCAACAGAGTGTTGAAGGCATTCAAAACATGTTTATACTGCAGAGAAAGTGAAATTTACTTTATATAAAGGAGAAGTACCAGGTCATTTGGGGATTTAAATTCTCATGGGATAAAAAAGAAAATTAGGAACAAGTATTTGAAGAATCTAAAGTTTGTAATGTGTGTGAACCTTATATAGAAAATATATGAGATTTGCCTAGGTTTTAATGATGGATAATACTATTCCAATGAAAAAAAAACTAAATAATACATTTCTGAGTGCCTGAATACATTTGGGGGGCCTATTTAGGTGTGTCCAAGACATAGACAGTTTAATGTACTAAAGTTATTCTGCTTAAATAAGACTTATTAAAGATAAATCCTGCATTGTTTCTCTAAAATGGATTCACATGCCTTTCTTCCTCATGTTCTGCCAATGAAGATCATACATCTCTCAGCTGTCTGTTTTATTTTCTTAAGAGTACTTCTTTTCATCACATTAACTATTGCTTTAATTCTTCACTATTATTAAAGAATCCCCAAGTTTCTGGTCATGAAAAGATGATAAGTGTTTAGGATACAATTCATCTCAAAGTCACTCGCAACTGTCTATTTTGGCCTTGGAAAACATTCCACTTACAGAAGAGGAAAATACAAATATATGTGCTTTTCCCGTGAAAGCTTATATTTAGAGTCAACTGAAAGAAAGCCAAGAGTTCTGTTTGCGAGATAATAATGTATAAGCAAAGATGTTAGTAATTAGTGAACGTATGTCACAACACATAATATAATGTCTTCTCCTTTTTAAGGTCCAAAGAGTAAAAAGCCTCCAGTTCATAGCCAACTTGACTCAACTCTTGAGCAAGCAGCATGATTTACTTACTTTGTTTTATAAAAATCATATGATGTATTTAAAAGCATCTCTCAACAGGTATTTCCTGAACATATTTTCCATAAACTGTAGAATACAGTTCTTCAAAAAGAAACTAATCCAGTTTTCTTTCTTTCTTTTTTTTTTTTTTTTGTTTGTTTCATTATTTCTCTTTAACTTTCCAGCCAAAGGGTTCTACGATCTCAATGCCTTAAATGAAGCTGCTTGGACAAGTGCCCAGAGCCAGTTGGTTCCCTGCAATATTTGTGGGCGTACCTTCCTGCCAGACAGGCTGATTGTTCACCAGCGATCTTGTAAACCAAAAGCTGCCAAGTAAAGCCCTTTTCTCTCCTTTGAAGTGTTGCATAAATTAATTCATTTGAAAGGGGTTAGGATATAGTGAGAAGAAGAAAAGGGAGATGAGAGGAAAAAGAAAAAGAAGTGGACTGAACCTTGATTGGGAGCTGGGCACAGCTCAGTGCTTTTTGGTGACAGTGTTTGCTCCCCGTTGCATAACCAACAGCTGCATGTGCTTAGGCACATGCGTCAGGCAGAATTACGAGCAGATTGCTCCTTATCAGAGCTGGAATTTTTGTCTGAAGACAATTCTTGAGCCAATAGTTGCCACTTTTCTTCCATTCTATTTTCCTGAACAAGATTTTGAACCTCACAGTGAAGACTATCATTTATTGAATAGAGGATCTGGGAACAACTTGAAGCAGCACCTTAGTCCTGGGAAGAAATGGATTTCTTTCCAGTCTCGTGCTTTCTGATCCAGGACGTATTTACATTGAGTTACTGATTGAGAGGTTTCTCTCTGTAAGATCATTCATCAGGAAAGATATTTTATAAAAGGGCTGAGAACTTGAAGTACTGGAACCATATCTAATGCATATTTTCTTTACAACATCAAGAAATGCTATGGAAGGGTTTTACAGCCAGCACTAGCCCCATGTGTCAGGAAACAGCTGCAACACAATTCATCAAAATGGGTGGAGGTCAGCTCCTCCCAAGGAGAAGTCTAGCAACACGTTTTTATGCCTTCATAGAGTTTTATAGGTGTTTCATTGTTTGCACTTAAAACCTGCCAGGAAATTTTGTGCCTTCCCACTCAAGGCCTATTCACAGTAAGTGGGTTGTGAAAGTGCTCTGTATTTCAGAATCTTCGAATGTGTTTTTAGCTAGGCAAACCTCTCCCAGGAAGAAGCCAGGGCCAAGGAAGTGCTCTGCCCAGGAAATTCTGCTCCCCCAGGCAGTGTGATTTCACCTGGACGCCCAGCAGCCTTGCCTGAGGTCTTTGTTCATTTTATGGCTGACTCCCAGAACCATCTGGGTCCCTTGTTCCTGTAAGCGTCACATCATGACCTTACATGACACAGTGAGTTCCACATTACACAGGCAGATTCATTCAACTGAATATTTTGGTCCTACTGCTAATCATTATACTGGGTTGGATTAGGACAACTCTATAGTTGTACTAATCGTTCTGTTTTTCCTGAAAGCTCCAAAGGAAGCAAGAGATGAACTTTTAAAAAATTCAGTGGATACTCACTCTATTAGTAAGCTTTCAGTCGGAGAGGAAAGGAGTAGGGCCAAAACATTGTGGTCCACATTGTTCTCATGATCTGTTCCCTTCAGCTAGGCCAACTTCCTGTTTCAGTCCTCTCCAAATAATGCCATCAGATTATAAATCGTATCAGTTGACTAAACCACTTGATAAAGTTAGAGCCCTTACAATCCAATCATTTCCTAAAAAGCCAATCAGCTTGCTTTGGGGGGCATTTTAGATCCAAACCATAACACAAATAAGAATCTTGTCAATGACATGACATTGAATGACATGGCCGATGGCTTAGCTGTTTGTTTTTTATCTTGCTAATAAAAATGATGGAAAGCCTCTTACTACATTGAGTGTACTGAGAGTCAGGCACTGTGCCGAGTGCTTTGTGTATATCACTCTGTACAGCTTACATTAGCTCTACAATCCATACCACTGTGCTTAGTTTACAGATTGGGAAACTGATTTTAGGCTAGGTAACTCAAGATTACACTGAGCTTGAATTAAAGGACAAATAGGGAAGCAAACTCAGGACTGTTGGACTTCTAAATTCACAATTATAACTTATTTATATTAGATTAATAAGATCATTAATAAGATTAGCATACTAATATTAATTACTTGACGAAACTGAAAAATCTTGCACAAGATTTAGTCTAAACTAAGGTAAACATGGAGTCTTAGCATGTGTGTAGTTCTGCTGATAGTCTGGGCTGTCTTCGACTGAGATTAAAATAAAAATTTGAGCTACACTGTTAGTGTTTTTTTACTGTGCTGATGTTCTAGAAAAAAAAAATAAGGGAAATAAAGCAAAATTCTGGCCTCAATTTTGAACTGAGCTGCTACTCAGAACCATGAAAAGATTTACGGACATGACAAAACAACAAAAACAATGTATGTATCTGTATGAATTAAGCCTGTGAGAATAGGAAAAATCTTAGTCAGTTGTCCCTCAGACAAAGGACTAATATCTAGAATATATAAAGAATTCAGAAAAGTCAGATCCTCTAAACTTAAAGATCCAATCAAAAAATGGACATCTGAAACGAATAGATACTTCCCAGAAAAAGTACAAATGGCAAATAAATACATGAAAAAAATATTCAACAGTACTCATAGTTCAAGAGATGCAAATTAATGCTGAGATTCCATCTTATTCCGGAAAGAATGGCTAGAGGGCCTGTGGGGAGACAGGAAATCTTCTCTACTGTTGATGGGAATGTAGACTTGTATAAGCACCATGGAAATTAGTGTGGTGATTCCTCCGAAAACTAAAACTAGAGGTTTGACCTCACTATTTCCTTTCTTGGTGTCTTCCCAAAAGGTTTAAAAGCACAGTGATATATATACATCCATGTTTATAGCAAAGTTTGTAAGAGCTAAATCTTAGAAGCAACCCTTAATGCTCATCAACTGATGAATGAATAAAATAAATGTGGTTTTTATACAATGAGGTATTAGCCATAAGGATAAAATGGAGTCATTTATGGCTAAATGAATGCACCTTGAGACCATACACTTAAGTGAAATAAATTGGTTGCGTATGTGTAAGTATCGCATTGTCTCTCTGGTTTGAGAGGCTGAAAGTGTAAATAAGAATCAAAATGTATAGTAGATATTGTATAATAGGGAGTAATTGTTCAAAAGGAAAGGGCAACTGAGGGGGGTAATGGAAGGGAAAAGAAACAATTGGGAAAAAAGGATAAAGGAAACAAAGCTTTGTAAATAATAGAGGGGTTGAAGGGAGGGAAGGGGAATGGTGAGGAAAAGAGGGAACTAAGATCTGTCATGCACAGGCACACATTCCCTAGATCACCATGTACATCTAAACTATACCAATAAACTTAATTAAAAAAAAAAGAATTAAGCATGTGAATTTTGAAAAGGACAGATTTTTCTAGGATTCATTACTTCCGAGCAGAGCTGTGAGCCAGCATAAGGTTCTGACTACGGGATTCCATTATGTTTCCACCTCAACTGTTGTTCGAATGTTCTACAGAATTAAACCACAGTAAGCTCATCGGGATGACATCAACCCAAGATTAATGGCCCCATTATCAAGCAAATCAAAAAATCTCCCCACTAACAGGAAAGGGCTCACCTCCTCTCTGCCAGCAGCCCTCCTCGCTGTGAATTCACATTTATGCTGATCTTTGTAATTCTCAAAGAAAACAGTCTTTTAAACAATGGCTGGCACCTCTGTGCACTATGAATTTGAGCCTTGAAATGAATTCTCTCTTAAAGGATGAAGAACAGACACTATATGAAGGCACTTGGCACTGAGCACTAACCCAGGCAGCCACTGGTGTGTTTTGTAATGTTATTACAGGCATCGATAACAATGCAATTTCCTTTCTACCCTGGTACCTAGTGCTGCACAAACTTTAATTGAATTCTTCTCTAGCTAAGGTTATGGGAATAATTCCAGGATATCTTCATGCTCATTTGTATGTTGAATTCACATCAGGGTTTTGGGCTAAATCCTACCAAAAGGGTAGTAAATAACCAGCATGTCTTAGTAAGGGACATGGGGAAAGGGACTCTCCTGCTATATATATATATATATATGTCCTTCAGATCCATTGCCTAAGGCAGGCAGCTTTATTATAGCATTTTAATAAACAAACACTTCCAAATGGAATTCCAAAGATGACTGCCTGTTGCACTGCTGATTTGAGTCCTTTTAACGAAAAGATGCCACTGACAAAGACATCAGGAAAAAGAAATAGCAGATACCCAATATCCAGTCCTCTAGCCTCTGAAAACAGCCCTCAGTCTTTCTGCAGTTGTCTGCTTCTAACACTAGCAAGATTTCTTCTCTACCTTCCTGTCTACAACTAGCTTGTGTGGCTTGATTCCCAACTCTATCGGGACAGGAAGCTCAGCCCTTTCCTTCCCCAGTCCTGTGAGGCCTCTCCCCTCCTCTGGCATGGGGACACTTTCCCTTATCACTTTACTTGCGCACTGACTCACTGTCTGGCCCATAAGGACAGCTGTTCCTGTTTCAGGTGGCCTTGCCCGCGCTCTGTGGTGAGAGATGAAAAACGAGCTTTTCCTGTTCTTGGAAGAAAGAGCACTAATGAAAAGCAGTGGCTAACATGGATGGTGCAGAAGGGATACACACAGGAGAAACACTACCAAGTTACCAGGGTGCACCTTTATTCTAAGTTCTTTTAAATCTGGTCCCGAAAAATACTCATCCAACAGGTACACCCAAAGAGAAAGCGTAAAGAAGCCTCATATTCTCTACATTTAAATAAAACTAGCTCTTAACATCCCACTAAGGCTTAATTTCAATAATCTATATTCCAGGTATTATTCTTTTGGGGTAAAAGGAGGATAGAGGTGCTGGGCCCCAAGAGCCTGTGGTCCCTTTCAGTTCTATTTAAGGAAACATGAAATTCAGCTATTGTGTATATAAATTTAAGTGCAAATGTAATAAATCAAAAAGTGGTCAAAGCATCCTGGGGCTAGGTATTACCACTGATTCACACTGATATACACAAAGACTTTGAAGCCCTAATCTCCAAAGCCTGTGGACACAAACTCCTTATAGAACAAGATAGACTGCACCGTGCTATTGAGGTTATCACTGTTGAGATGGGAAGATGATCTAGTTTAGTGACCCTGTGAGAGCAACCTAGTCATATCAGTCCTTAAGTAGAAGAGGAAGAAGGCAAAGAGTGGATAAGAAAGAAGGCAGCACAAGAAAGATTTCATGCCACGTTGCTGGCCCTGAAATGCAGGAGCCATGCACAAGGACTGAGGGAGCTCTGTGGGACCCAACAGCGACTCTCAGC